GCCAACTTTGCTCAAATGGATGACTACCTGAAATTGTTATAAAGTTTCTAGTTGAACTTGAAAACTTTTGTGATGTATGCATTAAAACTTTAATCTAACTACAGTTGCCTAAATATTATTGATGGCTTAACAGAGTTACTCTTGATTTTTTTTTATTATTCTTCTTTCTTCCTTGTAAATAGCCGACATAAAGTTGTCTGCCTTAGAATTAAACCCTTAAAAGACGTTATAAAGTGTGAATTTGTAAGTTTGCAAGAATGACCAATCAAAAATTCCCCTACTGCAGAGTAAAATTTTATAAAAAACTATTTCAAATATCTTTACTTTTTGTACAAGAAAAAAAAAAAAAGCCACCCGGTTAAGAAAGAATTTTTTTCCCCTAATCTTAACTTTTTTTTATTTTTCATTACCACTAATTGGCTTCAATGGCATCGTTGTTGTTTACCGCTTTACTACTGCGCTGTTCTGCAATTTTTTTTCTAATACAATAACAGTGACAAACAAAAGAAGCGATTTCTGAAGACAAGCAAATTTCTGCACTAAAAAAAAAAAAATAGCAGCAAAAATTAGAATGATAAAAATAATCTTTTTTTTTTTTTTAATCTGTCTCCATCTTCTTTTGCTGCTTCTATTTCACTCTTTGTTTCCTCTCAAGAAAAAAAGCATAGAAAGCAAAAATGTAGAAATTAAAAAAAAAAAAACAAAGAAGATCTTTGATTATTTCAGTTGAAAAATGCTTCACACAATTCATCATTTTCAAAATTTTTATGTTACATGTCATAAACATGACTGCAGTAACTTTTCTTTGCTGAAACTAAGAGAAGAAAACGGGGAAAGAATGAGGGAGAAGCTGACTGCAAAAGTGAATTGAGAAAAAGAGGGGAAAGAGAGCCAAAAGCAGTGATATAAGCAAAAAAAAATCTTAGATAATCTTTAAAGCTATACAAAAATCTTTCGACTACTTATCTTTGTTAAATGCCTCAAAGACTACTTTATTTTCTTGCATAAATTAGCTGTAAATCTATTATTTTTAACATTTCAAAAGGCAAAAAACATTAGCTGAACCTTAATGTGAAAAAAAAATAAAAAAAATTTCTTTTTCAGGTTTGTAAAATGATAATTTCGATTAGAGAACGCTGCATAATAGTTAATTCTCAAGTGGCTTATAAAAGCTGAATTCTGATATCAATAAATGAATAAATTGTAGGTAAATTGTTGACAAAATGTTTGAAGACACCATGGTATTTTTTCAAATGTACTTATAGACGTCTGTTTCGCTTCTGTTCCAAGCGAAGCTTAGAAGAGATTAAAAAGTTGAATGAAGCAGACAAAGAAGGTAAAACTTATTTCACCTTTTGCTTAATTTCTCTAAAAAAGAAGACAACTGTACTAAGGTTATAAAATTCATTTTCAGACCTAGAAGTATTTGATCTACCAATACCGGTAGCAATATTTGTGGTTATTGCATGGATCTTCATTTGTTCAGCAACATTTTGCATCTGGGAACATAACTGGGATTATTTTGTTGCCTTCTATTTCTTTTTCATATCACTCAGGTTATTTCTTTTCACTTTTTCATCTGCTTCGCTTCTCCTCTCCTCTTCAAACTTCAACTTTTTACATCAGTTTTTGCCAAGTATCTTAATGTTTGGCTTCTTTAGTATCAAAAATTCGTTTTTTTTTTTTTTTTT